TTTAGGTACCAAATGATTTACGGGATGTCTCATTACTTCCCTTTTGACTAGTCTTTGCCCTAAACTTTTCACGTTCTATCAAAACATTAGTTGTCCAGTGCAGTGTGAAGCATGTACAGTGGTGCCTCGCTTAACGATTGCTTCATACAACGAAAAATTCACTTAACGATTGCTTTTTCAGAGCGATCTTGTGCTTCACTTAACGATTTTCCCTATGGGGGATTTTTGCTTAACGATTTCGGGACCATGCTTCACTTAACGATGACAGTTTTAGGTCCCCTTGTTTCGCTTAACGTTTTTTTTTACAGCCCCGTTTTTGCTATTTTTAAAATATTCTAAAATGTTTAAAAATGTTTAAAATGCTTGGAATCGTTAGTGCACCTAATAAAACCTTCGTTAACTTAATTTGGCTTTGTTCTGAGTCTTTTTGATTTTTTTGTGAATTTTTTCCCCCATTGAAATAGGCTTCAATGCATTTCAATGGGTTTCGCTTAACGTTTTTTCCTATGGGGATTTTCGCTTAAGGATGGTAATCCGTTCCAGTTGGAAGGGATTATCCGGTTTTCAATGCATCTCTATGGGAAATGGTGTTTCACTTAACAATGTTTTCACATAGCAATTTTTTTTTGAACCAATTAAAATCGTTAAGCGAGGCACCACTGTACTTCTGAACAAGGACAGAAGAACCTGTGGGTCTTTGGTGGGTGGAGAAAATAGCTTTTTTTTGTCTGAGAGGCTGGGTTACCAGTTTAGGGCCCTGGCAGACTCCTTGCTCGGGTCTCATTAAGGGAACTCTCCGTTTGCTTTGCCACGTAAAAAAAATCATCAGTATGTTCTTTCTGCCTTCCATGCAGGCGGGCGAGATCCAAGAGGGATGGAACCTCGAGGCATTGATGGCCGAGGCATGGAGCCCAGAGTAATGGATGCCAGGGGCATGGAGCCCCCTCGAGGAATGGAGCCCCCTCGAGGAATGGAGCCACGAGGAATGGAGCCACGAGGAATGGAACCTCGAGGAATGGAGCCTCCAAGAGGGATGGAGCCCCCCCGAGGGATGGAACCCCGAGGCATGGAGCCCCCCAGGGGGATGGATGGAAGAGGCATGGAGCCCCCCCGGGGGATGGAACCACGAGGCATGGAGCCCCCCCGGGGAATGGATGGAAGAGGCATGGAGCCCCCCAGGGGGATGGACGGAAGAGGCATGGAGCCCCCCCGGGGGATGGAGCCTAGGGCTCCTGGCCCCACCCCAAGGGGTCCAATGGCAGGGGGGATTCAAGGACCTGGGCCTCTGAACATGGGAGCGACGGGCCCACAAGGGCCCCGACAGGTACACGGAACTCCTCTTTCTCGCTGTTGCCTTTTCATCTAGGTTTCATGAGAGAAACCAATAGCTTGTGCTTTGAGAGCTGCACTGGGCCTCGCTGGGGGGTTGGTTTCCTAAACTTTTTTTTTCAAAAGGAGTTGTGCTGGGAGGGAAGAAGATCCTCAGGCTTTCAGTGCCAGCCTGTTTGGCTCACGAAGAAGAAGATAGACGTGGAATCAAATGGGGAAGTGGGGCCTTTCAGCCCGTGAGTGGCCGTTGGCCAACTCTGCTCTGAAAACAAAGGTGTGCTGCTTCAAGCATGGAACCCATCCAGACCATGCTGGAGTCCCAGTCCGGCTTCCCGAAAGTCTTGAGATAACCGTGGCATATTTCCCTGCTACTGTCATTTGGTGGTTTCTCAGCTTTTTTCACAGATTTTTTGCCACTGCTGTAAAAAGCTGAAAATCCAGTGACTTGGTTCTTGACAGCCACAGCGTTAAGCTCATATAGGCTGGTGTGTTGGATCCTGCCCTTCGGCTAAGGGCCCTTCCCATCATTGGAATGGAGTCCCCGAGAACCTGTCTGGAATGAATTAAGTTTTTAGGCAGAAATAGGTTCTTCATCCTTGCTTTAGAACAGGGGTGCATATGGGTGTCCCCCAAGACCAGTTTTGTGGCCCTCAAGACATCTGCTCTGTGCCACCCAGAAATACTGTATACAGTGGTGCCTCGCTTAACGATTGCCTCGTTTAGCGATGAATTCGCATAACGATGTGTTTTTTTAGAAAATAATATGCACCGTATAACGATGTTTCCTATGGGCGATTTTCGCTTAGCGAAGTTTGGGACCATGCTTCGTATAACGAATGCGATTTTAGGTCCCCTGCTTCACTTAACAATGTTTCTTTTTTCAATTAAAAAAGTGTCTTAGAAGGGTCAAAAGGTTCTAAATGCTTGGGTTCGTTAGAGGACCCCCTAAGTCATGTGCAAACCTGATTTGGCTTTGATCTGACTTTTCGTTAATTTATGGTAAATTTTTTTTTCTGGCCCATAGGAACCAATGGACCTGTCAAAATCTGACAGCTCCATGCTTTCCTATGGGGAAGAAAACAATTTACAAAAAATTAACGAAAGTTCAGATCAAAGCCAAATCAGGTTTGCACATGACTTAGGGGGTCCTCTAACGAACCCAAGCATTTAGAACAGTTGCTGAGTCTTCGCTAGTTTTTTGTGAATTTTTTCTTCCCCCATAGGAAATAATGGAGCTGTCAGATTTTGACAGCTGTCAAAAGTTGGGGGGGGAAAATTCACCATAAATTAACGAAAAGTCAGATCAAAGCCAAATTAACTTTTGCATCTGTTTTAGAGGGTGCAGAAGCTAATCCAAGCATTTAAAACCATTTTTGACCCTTTTATGACACACTTAATTTTGCAAAAATTGACTTCGCAAAGCCATTGAAATGTATTGAGTCAGCTTCAATACATTCCAATGGAGGAAACATTGTTTCGCTTAGCGATGTTTCCTATGGGTTTTTTCGCTTAACAACGGCAATCCGTTCCAATTGGAACGGATTAACCGGTTTCCAATGCATTCCTATGGGAAATGGTGTTTCTCATAGCGATGGTTTCACATAGCGATGTTTTTTTTTGGAACGAATTAACATCGCTATGCGAGGCACCACTGTATAGTGAAAACATGTCACTTCTGATCCTAAAACCCTCAAGACCAGCACTTTTACTATAAAACAAAGTGCCAGATTCGCTAAGCCCTTAATTTAAAAAAAAAAAATGAAAACAGAATTCAGAAAATCGGAATTGAACTTTTTTACCCACATGTTCATATTTTTGGAGGCAATTTCATCTCTTGGGGAGGGGTGCTGAAAACTGGCCCCCGGCCCTCCAAAGGCACCAACCCCATTCTAGAAGACGACAGGAAATCTGGAGGTGTTTGTGCTGCTGTGGCAGAAAATGCTTCATGGCACAAAGATCAAAACCCACTGGCATGAGAGGTTGTTCCAGCCAGGCGCTGTAAGCTTTTCAGTTGAAAATCCAACTATGAAAATAATACCTGTGCTTGCATACCACCTCTTGGGCTCTTCCCCCTCTGTTCCCTGATAGCTTTTCTCCAGCTGTTAAGATAATTCTTCTAAAGTCACGGGCTAGAAAAGCCAGAATTTGGGGCAAGGGGATAGAAATCTGTGGTCATAAATTACATTGGTTGGGGTTTCGGCCAACCGCTGCCAACACCTGGGACAAGAGGCAATATCTTCACAACAACCCCTTATCACTGGTTTCACTGGTAGTCACTGTGCATCCATACATATACCCATTCTCTTAGCACTCGGAGCTAGTACTTGACATGGTCTTTGGAGCTGTTTGATAGAAGTTAGGCACATTATCTAGGGCATCAGCGTGATATGGGAGGGTACAATATAACTGAATATCTCTTTCTCTCTCCGCAGGTCCCAAACATGCCAGGGGCTGCGATGCAGTCAGCTGGCATACCAGGAGCAAGTGTGCAAGCCGCTGCTCAACCTGGGGGTTTCAGCCCTGGCCAAAACCAGGTAACACCTCAGGACCACGAAAAGGTAAGTGAAGCATTGGTCGAATTTACATGGGTATGGTTTGTTGCTTTAGCCGACTAGTCCTGCAGATGACCACAATGTTGTGTTATGGCATGCCTAGTTCAACTAGAGGAGTAGTAGGGAATATGCCAGAAATATGTAGAAAATACAGTGGTGCCTCGCTATACGATTGCCTCGTGGGACGAAAAACCTGCAAGACGATTGGTTTTTGCGATCACTATGGTGCCTCGCGAGATGTTTTTTTTTCTATGACTGTGCTTCACAAGACTTTTTTTTTAGACCGATGCTTCGCAAGACTTTTTTTTTTTGAGACCAATGCATAGGGAACCTCGCAAGACGATTTTTTCACAAGACGATTTTCGCGGAACGAATTAAAATTGTCTTGCGAGGCACCACTGTATACAGTAAGTCTGAAAAGTTTTTTTTTAAAAAACAAAGCCTAGGAGAAATTTGTTCTTTTGTTTGTTGTTTTCAGAGAGGCATTCCTTTACCATGCCTTTTCTCCTCCCTGTTTTTTGGAAGGGTGGCTGCACCGTCACCATTTTCTTCCGTTTTCTCCATAGGCAGCACTCATCATGCAGGTCCTCCAGTTGACTGCAGACCAGATAGCCATGTTGCCTCCGGAGCAAAGGCAGAGCATTCTGATCCTCAAAGAACAGATACAGAAGTCCACTGGCGCCCCTTGATCTACCTTCGGGTAAGAAGCATGGGGGGGGGGACTGTTGAAATTTTGCCATATTCTACATAATGGCCTAAGACCATACAGTTCCTAGTTTGGGGAAGGGGGGAGGTCACTTCTCAAAGTAGCTCATTCCTCCCCACCCACACCCCACCTCTGGAAAGATTGCTAACTGCTTTGGTTCCTGCAGTCCACAACATCCCATATTCCATATTTAATATGCTAAACCAAAGGTGGAAGCTCCCCCCATTTTGTTTTGTTTTGTTTTTTTTTTCTATACAGGAGTGCTTTCCATTTGGGAGGATTATTTGTTTGTGGGGCTGTGGTTAGAAGTAAAACTAATAGCGGGCAGGACCGAAGGTTCCCTCTAAGGTGCACACCTGCGCGCGCGACTCGGGGGCCCCCCTCCAGGCAGCCTCCCTCCTCCTCTGCACACCAACAGCAGTTGTTTCCAGCGCCTTTGGTTCTGGGCACGCCGGAACCTGGAGGGGGATCGTACGCGGGCAAAGTCACGAGAGGCAGATCCCTGCCCAGCAGGGCTGAAAATTAAGAGGGAACCTTGGCAGAATCAGAAGTCAAGGGTCACCTCCTTTCTTTCTGACAAGCATTTCTTTGTACCCCTTCTTTGCCCCATGATTTTTTTTTCTCTCTCTCTCAGGCACCCCTTTTTATTCTTTACTTCATAGTGCACTGTCAGGAGATAGTGGAATCTTTCTTGCTCAAAGTTAGAACTGATCTTCCGTAGAGTTTTTTGTAAGTTTGGCTGAAGGCGACATGATGTTCAGCATAGCTGGACCCCCTTTTACTAACAAAGGACAAAATGCAGGTGGAGTTTCTCTTGCCCAGATCCAGCTGAAATGGACAGAAAAGATACCCCTGCTCTCGTTCTGCTGATAATGTTGCAAAAGAGTAGCCCTGGCTGCCAGATGGGTGGTATATAAATTAACCACAGCAATAACAACAACAACAGTAATAGTAATAATAATAACAACAATGATAACAACAATAATAATAATAATATAGTGCCTCAGTGGGTAGTGTCTTTTGAGAAATTCTGAATCCCTCTGTTCTCTCAGGATGAAGAAGGGAGCCTGCAGCCCTTCAGATATTGATGTATTCAACTTCTGTCAGCCCTCTGCACTAACCACAGACTGGCTGGGATTGTAAAAACTGGAGTCCAACAATATCTGAATAAGGTGCAGATTCCTTACTCTTTGTTACAGATTTCTGCAAATTAATCTTTACTGAATACGTCTCTGCAACACTAGGATGTTTGTATGGAACTTTTGAGGATGTTTTCACTCTGGAAAGGTACAGTGGTACCTCGCTAGACGACGACCCCGCTTGAACAGGATTAAATAAGTCCTTTCCACTTCACCAAAAATGACCTTTCATTGGGTTAACCATCATCCTTTAGCTTGCCTCCCCACCTTCCATAGGTTGGTACAAGGGGTATGAACTCTCTTGTTAACAATGAATTCTCTCCTCCCCCTCCTTTTTTTTAATTTCTTAGACCTGGAAACCTTCTCATAGAGTTCGTCCCTTGTTGGAGACAGTCCTGGAGGCAGCTTCCATGATGCCCTTTCCTGGCCGGAGCCCCAGCAGCAGCAAAGGGGAGGGGATCATTTTGTTCATTTTCACTTTCCGTTCATTTTGTTTCCTTCTTTGTGTTTCCAATAAAATGCTGTCCTAAATTTGAATAAACCTCCATGGCTCGGTGTAAATACATTTTATCCTGGTTTCTCTCTTTCCCTGTCTCTACTTCCCAGGGCAAATTCCAGTTTATTTTATTGTGCTTCCTTCTTCACCAGTCATCATTTAAATTGTGCTATGTGTTTATTTTGTTGTTGTTGTTGTTTAGTCGTCTCACCACTCATCATTTAAATTGTGCTGTGTGTTTATTTTGTTGTTGTTGTTTAGTTGTTAAGTCATGTCCGACTATTCATGACCCCATGGACCAAAGCACGCCAGGTCCTCCTGTCTTGCACTGCCTCCCGGAGTTGGGTCAAATTCATGTTGGTCGCTTCGATGACCCTGTCCAACCATCTCATCCTCTGTCGTCCCCTTCTCCTCTTGCCTTCACACTTTCCCAACATCAGGGTCTTTTCCAGGGAGTCTTCTCTTCTCATGAGATGGCCAAAGGATTGGAGCCTCAGCTTCAGGATCTATCCTTCCAGTGAGCACTCGGGGTTGATTTCGTGTTTACTTTTAAATGACTCTAAATCAGGCTTCTTCCATCCTTTTCTAACTACTAATGCCAGGAACTACTCCAGACAGGAAATTCATACTGGATATCTAGAAGATATAATAATTTTAGGGTTGGACGTGCTTCTGAAGAAACGTGAAGGAACTAAGAACAGCTGTGCCGGATCAGATGACTTGCCATGGCTCCATTCTGTGGAATTATGGGATTGGTAGTTTGGTGAAGTACCCAGAATTCTCTCCTGCAGTTCATGGGAGTGCTCAAGATAGCTTTCTGCCACTATTCATTAAACTACATGTTCTAGAATTCCATAAGGTGATGTGTCATGTATGTTCAGATAATATCAGACTGTTGTAATGGTGTGGTGTTGATGACTCTCAAAGCCATTCCAGCTAGGTAGAAATTGACACTGTGTGTGTCCTGCACAAATACTTATTTTATTCAAATTTATTTAAAATATTTTCCCCCAACTTTCTCTTTAAAATGTCCCTTGTTCACCTCTGTGCCATCACAAGACAGCAAAGGAGGAATAGATGAAGGTTGTGGGATTTGAGGATTACGTGGGCAGACCTGTCTCTTTCCACAAGCAAAGGTTTCTGAGGAAACACCCTTGTTTTATTATTATTTGACCTCTTGCTTACAAAACCTTCTCCAAGGACATTGCTGCAGTTGGTGGTTCATAAATAGATAAGTAAACAATCCTCTCTTCATCAAGGGTGATGGAGAGACAAATATCCCAGGTTGCTGAAACTATGCAACAGCATGTATTTATGTTCCACTGTCATGTCAGTAATCATCATCTGTTGTCAAGTCTATTCTTGACTTATGACGACCCTTTCAGGGTTTTCCACTTGTCAGTACCTTACATAAAACCCCAAAGTATTAGTTTTGAGTTTATTTAACAACCTCCATTGGAGCTTCTCATTGCTTGGTAAGATAAAGCAGATGCCACTTGTCCATCAAATGGCAGAGTTGGCAAAGGTCAATAAAGCACTTTCTAGGATGGAGTTTCTAAAGAAGTAGCCATGTTAGCCTGTCTCTGCATGTTGGCAAAATTCAAAGCGAAGAAGAAGGAAAAGGGGGAAATACTGCAGCACTTCAAGGGTCTACAGGTTTGTTTCAGTCTGAGTTTTCATGAAGAAGGGATTTTGATCCATAAAAGCTCACACAGAAATAAATCTATTATTCCTCAAAGTACCAAAACATTTTGCCTGAGTGAATGAATGAATGAATTTGAAAATTTGATCTCCTTTGGCATGGCTCAGAACATCATTCTTGCCCTTGGGAAATGTAATCTAAAGCAGTGGTTCTTAACGTGGGTGATAATGCCCCCCAGGGGGCGATTTCATTTTTCAGGGGGGCGGTAAAACGAAAAGGGGCGGCGTGGGGGCGCTGGAGCAGAAGGGGGGCAGTAGGGGGGCACTGGAGAAGCCAAACCTGTGAAGATGGTTGCAGCCTTTTTACAGTGTGCATGAATATATATTTTCCTCCAATCTTAATTTAGTTTCAGAGTTTTCGTCTTGAAATTTTTAGTTCCTGCACTGCAGTTTGTATTTATGCCCTTTTTATATTTCTTTTTGTGTCTTAAAATTCACTTGCAACTAAATCATTAAATGTTACTTTTTTGGGGCATTTCATTTTCTTGGAATTGAATTTTGTTTTCAGGGGTCATTGGATCTGATCTCCTTTGGCATGGCTAAGAACATCATTCTTGCCCTTGGCGAATGTAATCTAAAGGTCCCCTTCCGCACTTCAGAAGTCAAGCCCCTTTATTTTGATTTTGTAAAACTTCCAGTAGCACGTGCCATCTTTCTGTCATACTTGTCCACATGGGATGCTTTTAGTTGTGGGCGGGGCTGCGTGTAACCCCAAGTTTTGAAAGGGCAACATGTATCCAAAACAAATCTATCACATTATGTAAAAAGGGTGCCAGCCAAGTACAGTGGTGCCTCGCTTAACGAAGCGTGTAACCCCAAGTTTTGAAAGGACAACTTGTATCCAAAACAGAAATCTATCACATGATGTAAAAACGGTGACCAGCCAAGTACAGTGGTGCCTCGCTTAACGAGAATCCATTCCAGCAAAAACGCGGTAGAGCGAAATCCTCGTTAAGTGAAATAAAAAATCCCATTGAAATGCATTGAAAACCCATTCAATGCGTCCAGTGAAGATCCTCCATAGGGGCAGCCATTTTCGGTGCCTGTAAAGCAAGGAATCTGTCCAAAAACACAGCAGGGAGCCATTTTACACAGCGGCTGCCCATTTTGAAGCCGCCGATCAGCCGTTTTAAAAACATCGTCTAGCAAGAAATCGGTTCCTGAAGCAGGGAACCGATCATCGGGAAGCGAATTTTGCCTATAAAAACATCATCTAGCAAGAAATCGGTTCCTGAAGCAGGGAACCGATCATCGGGAAGCGAATTTTGCCTATTCAAACATCATTTAACAAGGTAATCGTTAAGCGAGGCACCACTGTAACTTCTAACCACCATTGTTCATCACTGGTCATGTCAATGAAGAATGGTACTAGTTAGGCTGAAGAGCATCTGGAAAGTCACAAGTTGCTTTATTTGTTACATTATGGACTCCCATTATAAGATATACCATGCATGAGAGAACCACCTAACTCAATCTCAATGGAAGTAATAAAAGGTTCTGACTGTCAGAGGGGTGTGAGGCTGTAATATTCTCCTTTAGCCACAAGAAAATGTGGTACAGTACTTGATTTCTATCATGACAAAGAACACTCTGAGACTTTTGTAGCAGAAAGCCTAAAAAAATGTTTATTTACTTACAATTGCTTGAAATTGCAGACTGTACACTGCTTTCTCTACTGCATACAGATACATACTAGCAGTTGACTGAAAGATCAACAGCAAACAATTACTTCCAACCAATGAACCCGAGGGGAAAAACAGGCAGCAGAGAAGGCCAAGCTCTCTTTGAATTCAAATAGGCTGGAAGGAAAGACTGGTTAGTGCTGGATAATCACCCCAGCCCAGATAACTCTCTCCCAGTCACATGAATTAGAGACAGCATGCAAGGTTGCAAATAAAATTCCAACTTCAGATACCGTTACATCCCTTCCAGATTAAAATCAAGGGAAGGCTTTTTCAGAACATCAGAGAAGGCCAGGACTATATAAGAAAGAACTACTCACCTCGTACATAGAAACTAGCCTCTGGCCACATGTAGAACTAGGTTACTTGGAATTCGCTTAAGAAGCTACAGACTGGAGTTGGCAGAACCAAAGTGAACGTAAGAAAGAAAGGCTTTCACACTAACACAGCCCTTTGTGAACGCAGGGATGAACAGGCAACTTCACACCTTTGCAGTGTGCACTATGTATGCCCCTTGACATGTACTGTGGAAGATGGGATGTTAGCTGCCCTCGGTGCTCTTGATGTTGCCCGTTAGGGGGCAAAGACTATCTGATTGGTTTATTAATTGTGTGGTGGTGCTTCTGACATGAACCAAAAAAGACGGGCAAGAGATCACTTTTTGGACTACAACTACCAGAATATCCCAGAATTCCCGTGCTGTCTTGGGGCATCCTGGGAGATGTGCAAGGGAAGTTAAAAACAACAACTCCTGGATAGTTCAGTGGATTTAAGTCCCTGGCTACAGAGCCGGAGGTGGGGCATTTGATTCCCCACTGTGTCTCCCTGAGAAGGGCTGGGCTTCCTGATCCATCGGGTCCCTTCCAGCTCTGAAGTTCTAAGATGATGAAGAACATCAAACCTCTCTAGAATTCTTCCTCTTCAGAATTCCGTTTCCCACAATGGCCAAGCTTGATGCCTGAGCCGGAGAGACCAGAATTCCACCAGTCCCCTTTGAATCGTGGAATTGACTGTGTGATCCTTGGGCTACTCCATTCCTCTCATCTTAGGAGCAAGTTTGTGGTGGTAGGTAAAATGGAGAACAGAGGAGCCACTTACATGGTCTTGACATCCCTGGAGGAAAATTCAGGAGGTGCCTTTAACTAAAAGATAATGAATACACCATCCTCTGGTTGCTGTCCTCTGAAGATGCCGGCCTCAGAGACCGGCGAAACGTCAGGAAGAACAACCTTCAGAACGCGGCCAAAGAGCCCGAAAAACCCAGAACAAGCAACACCATCCTCACTTGAGGAAATCAATTTGGAAACTTACATTGGCAAGATGAACAGATGGGCATCTGCTTTTACTGTTGGAACACAGATTCAGTCACGAGGTTTACCACGTGCCCTGGACCAGTCACTAGCTCTCAGTCTGACGTTCCCTACTGGACAGTCAGCCGTGATGGAGTGGTGGATAGTGAAGTGCAGGCACTCTCGAAATGGCCATGCCATCAAAGATCGTCCAGAAAATGCAGGCAAGTATGAGGATCCCATGTTTGTTTGGGAAATCCATTCCCCAGCCCTCACGACTGCGAAGACTTCAGCCGAGGTGAGATGGAAAATTGAAATGGACGGTGGTGTTGAGTGGAAGGTCCTGGTTCTTTAACTCTCCGTTCTCCTACAAA